ATTAGACTCTATCCTTGGGGATCAGAGCATGAGGTGAGTTTTAACTCTGTTGCTTGGTGCTGCTCTTGGGGATTGGAACAGAAAGTAACCATGGCGAGCTCTGGCTCTGTGAGGGATGCCCTGCTGTATCTTAGGGCAGATCCAGTGATACTGGCTGGTTAAAAACTGAAAGAATAGTGGATACTGTAAATCAGAAACAAAAACAGAAGTTGCTGGAAAAGCTCAGCAGGTCTAGCAGCACCTGTGAAGAGAAATCAGAGTTAACCTGGTGACTCTTCCTCATAACTAATGGTAGCTAGGAAAATGTTGGTTTACTTGCAAAAGATAGGGTGGATGGAGGGGGTAAGGAGCAAATGACAGGTGGGGATAGAACCCAAGCACTGAGAAGAGCAGTTGGACAGACAAAGGAGTCGATAATGTTCTGGCTGGGAGGGTGAATAGCTATTAATGGAGAATGTTAGTGGCTAACATTAGGTAGTGTGTAATAGCAGACTGTGATAACAAGGCCTGGTGTGTGTGGGGTATGGGGCTAGGACATGGAAGAGTTCTGGAGGGCTGCAGGGTTCCCAAGTGGAAAATGAGGTGTTGTTCTTCCAGCTTGCGTTGAGCTTCGCTGGAACACTGCAGCAAGCCTGAGACAGAGATATTGGCCAGGGAACGGGATGGTGTGTTAAAGTAGCAGGCAGGCAGACAGGGAGCTGGCGGACAGCGCACAGAACGTAGACATTCCGCGAAGCGGTCACCCAGTCTATGCTTCGTTTCCCCAATGTAGAGGAGACCACATTGTGAGCGGTGAATGCAGTAGACTAGATTGTGGGGAGTGCAGGTAAAGTGCTGCTTCACCTGTAAGGTGTGTTTGGGCCCTTGGATACTGGGGATGGAGGAGGTAAATGGGCAGGTGTTACACCTTCGGCAGTTGTAGGGGAAGGTGCTGTGGGGGTGTTGTCGGGAGTGAAGGAAGAATGAACTAGAGTGTCCCGGAGGGAACGGTCCCTGCGGAAGGCGGACAAGGGAGGGGAGGGGAATATGTGTCTGGTGGTGGCATCTCGCTGGAGGTGGCGGAAATAGTGGATAATGACCTTCTGGATGTGGATGCTGGTGGGAACCCTATCACTGTTGCAGGAGGGAAGAGAGGGAGTGAGGACAGAAGTGCAGCAGATGGGTCGGACCTGGTTGATAGTGCATTTTTGTTACCAATTGCTGGCGATTCTGTGGTTTAGCGTCAGGGATTACAGGGTTATCAGTTTGCTGTTTCTGTGTCTTGTAGACCTAGTATTAATATTACTTGGTTTTCCTCGGTTTTATTTTTCACATGTTTCTTACAATCCCCAACATTTTGTTCCAACGTAATCCCTCACCCCAACTAATTTATTGCTTCTTCGTCTTCTTTCTCTCACTTCTCTTTTTACCCTTGTTCGGTCTCTTTTCCGCCCGTCTTGTGCGCTGTCCTTTCTCCCCCCTTGTGCGCTCTCCTTTCCCCCCGTCTTGTGCGCTGTCCTTTCTCCCCCCTTGTGCGCTCTCCTTTCTCCCCACCTTGTGCGCTCTCCTTCCTCCCACCTTGTGCGCTGTCCTTCCTCCCCCCTCGTGCGCTCTCC